CGTAAAGAGAAGCACATGGACACAATAATGATCATTTAGTGTTGGGAAAAATATGCCAGCCAGCCAGACAGACAGGCAGACAGACAGATAGAAGCAGCAGTGGGAATGTAAAGAAGTAGGATCTACCAGTGGTGCCCTCCAACCACCCACAGTATGCTGTCTCATGTGTTAGGACAAAGAGTTTAAACAACAAAACAACACATTTGACAGCGATAGATCGCTACGCAAGAGAAACTTGACGTAAAAAAGTTTGAGTTTAACCACATGTCACGTTTTTTCGAATGGACTTCTTTAAATATCTTGATAACGACTCCGAATAATCATACAGTTTTGATTGAGCAGATTGAACATTTGGTTTCTGACCTCACGGTTTTAGTAATTGAAAACGGTCAATCATCTCAGATAGAACCATGTAATTCTAAGGTAGCGAGACGCATTAAATTACTCAAAAGGTAGATTATTTTCAGTTTTAGAAACTTGAACCATGTTGACTGCATAACATAGGTCAGCAGTTCAAATGCCCTAAGCCCAACATTTTGAAATTGTTTATTTTTTTTCAAATTGTAATTTATAAATCTGTTGTATCGGTTGCATGAGCTCCAGAAATATTTCCTCGAAATTAAAATTCTAAAAAAAGAAGCAAAATAACAAAACAAATAAACCGACAAACAACCCCCCCCCCCAACAAAACTACCCCCACGCCCAACAACAACAACAACAACAACAACAACAACAAAAACAAATTCACCCCAGAAACAAATATTATATAACGTACTCGTAGATTTGATTGTTAAAAGAATGAAACAGTTTTTTCCCCTCCCTGCAGAAACGTTTTACTTTTTGAAGTTCGGACATTAATTGTGAGGTATCGTGGTGAAATCAGACGCTCTTGAAATAATCATATCGAACAGACCGGCATTTTCCCGCTCTTTTGACAATTTTTATCGATTTTTTTCTTTGGTTCAACACCTATTATGTCCATGAAAACAGTGGGAATATTTATTATAACACGTCGCTCAACAACTGAAAAAAGAAGTAAATTTTCACTTTTTTAAGGACATTCAAGCTTTGAAAGTCACCAAACATTGGCGACAATATTCATTCTAATTTTTACCCTGAACCGAGGCGACCCCATCTCTTTCAGTTGCAAATATCTCGGCCTCTATGCAAGATAGACGGGTGGGTTTTTTTTTCATCGAAAGCAAGAAAAACAAACAAGCTTTAAAGTGATGCCATTAACTGCACACGAAAAAAAAAATGACGAGAACCTGATACTACAGCGTCGTGACAAATTTGAATAGTTTTCCGATGATAGGGGACCTCATTCCATTATCGGAATGACGCATACCAAGGACGTAGCACAACTGTGGCGGGGACTGCTGTATTACATCAAAGGTAAATTTAATTATTCTTTTGTAAGGGAATGTGTGTGCGTGTGGTTTGGCGGGCAGGTAAGTGTGTGTATGTGTGTGTGTGTGTGTGTGTGTGTGTGTGTGTGTGTGTGTGTGTGTGTGTGTGTGTTGTGTGTGTGTGTGTGTTTTCATATGTGTTCAGTGGGTGTGTTTGTGTGTGCGTATGTATGTATGTGTGTGTGTGTATTTAATTGTGTGTGTTCATGTGTGTTCCTGTGTGTTCGGTGCGTAAGTTTAAGTACACGAACACTCACGACGGAGTACAACCGAGTACATGCCTTCATTAATCTCGTCAAAAACTTCACCTCTTTCTTCCTCATTCACAGCTGCTGAGCTCATTAATATTTATTAATTCATTAACCCACAAAACTTTGAACTGTATTGGTATACCCCATCACCAACGGCAACACAAAGAAACGCCACTTTCTCCATCGGAATTTCCCCGTAAACTCATTAAACGCTTAAGGGAACATTTACACGAGATGTTAAAAAGCATACCCCCTGCCTTATAGAAACCCCAGAACCTTACGAAAACACTGATTGAAAACGTATTTGCTTAAAACGCCAAAACAAACAGCATTTGCACCGCACGTCACGTATACATTTCACCGGCCGTACCTCATTTAACAAATGGACGATTGTGTTAACCCATTTGTCGAATCGATTCATTAATGACTCCGAGATAAAAGAGTAATTACGTCTAAGGTTTTTAGTATCGAGATCTTTTTTTTCTGGCTGAATTTGTTGTGCATTTCACCAAAAAACTAATATAAGTAATGAAACCTAACGTTTAATGAGATCATTATTGCTGGATAAATTAGTTCCGGATTTCATCAGAGACTATATTAAGGCCTGTTTTCCAATGGGAATGTTCCAACAATTTTCGTCCCCTGATAAATTCTTCAAAAACGTCCTATCACCCACATCTTCATTCAGCAACACAAACCAGTCAGCCAGTCCATGGTTCGAACTAACGGCCCCATAAATATGCACGCAACTGATTGATCAATTACTCAGCTGTTCCATCATGATATGTACCAATCCATTAGTTGACAAACGCCAAAAAATAAACAGCATGCAAAAGCAAGCACTTGCAGCTGCAACATAAAATCAAATTATAAATGTTAAGACGTATAAAAAATATATAAATAGGTGATCCTAATGACACTGAATCAGAACAAATTTGGACAGAATCGAACACCACGGTTCAATCGAGAACATATTATTCTGGAAGCAACGGTAGAATGGAAGAGACGAAGGGGCAGACCAAATAGAAGATGATGTCCGGGCATAAAAACTTGGCTAGAAACCAAAACAACACCAGAAAGTAGAATATTTGATGATGATGATGATGATGATGATGATGATGATGATGATGATGATGATGATGATGATATGCTCCTGAGGAAGCCCACGAGGCGAAACGTTGATCTAATAAACAAATTTAAACATTTTATATTATTATATTATTTTGTCTAAAATTAAAACAAGACTCTCCCTCCTTCTCTGCTTACCAAACAATGATGATGATGATGATGATGATGATGATGATGATGATGATGATGATGAGCATGGCGATGATGATGGAGCCCGTTGAGGGCTAAACGTTGAGGTTGTCATTAAATATTTTGGAAATACTACCAAGTCTTAACCGTTTTACTATCTGCTGTATACCATGATGATGATGAAGATGAAGAAAATGACAACAGCAATGACGACGACTAAAATGATGAGGCTGCTACTGCTGCTGATGATGATGATTATGAAGATGATGAGGCCGGCAATAAAAATTAAACAGTAATCACACAAAACTA